AGGAAATGTTCAGGAGCTGGTGTGCATAGACAAAAGCAAGGATTAGAAAGGATGAAACTGATATAACTGTAAACTCCCAAAAATCTCTCCTGGAGTTGACACGTGCTTTGTTTTTTACAAAACGTGTTAAAAAGGCAGTGAGAACAAAGACACACTCACATTTAACATGAGGAAAGCAATAAACATGTTGGGAAAATTGTCCTAGGACAGGATCCAGGCAGAAAAGCTGAGGGTTTGTTAGTATAGAAAGCTTTTTTCTCACTTTATCCTTAGGTTCTTTTTATCAAAGATGATGCAGATGGTCTGTCAGAATATATCAATGGGTGCAGTTAACAATCCCATGCTTGAAAGATATTTCCATAGTGAAATGAATAATTGGTTTGGAGTGGTGTCTGTGTTGCTATCAACATTCACCAGTCAGCAAAGCTGGCAGCTGTAGGAAGGGCACCTTTATAAGAAATGTGAAATACTCTTCTTGCCTAAGAGGAGCATTCACACCTTGAATATCAGGTGTGTTTTCTCCCAAGATACAATACTTTGCTGCTACCTTAATTTTCTTGCTCAGAAAGCGTGTTTTTCTTAAAACAGTGGATAAAACATAGACTCTGAAGGGACAAATACCATTCTTTGGCAGAGTTAATTCAAACAGTACCACAAAAGAAATGCAGAACTTCTGCTGTGTGTTCTATTAGGGTCCCAAAGTGAAGAAAATGCCATAGCAAGGTGAAAAGTAAAAGTATGAACATGGAAGTAGTGTTGATCAGATCTGTTTGGCAGTAACATTATTAGGGTAGTGTAAGGAAGAATTTGGTGTAAATGAAGCTGCAGTGTCCATGGTTGATAAATAAATGATCAGTGGAACAAGTTTAAATATCTTACACTCATTATCCTAGGTAGCCACAGTTTTGGCTTTCAAACTGCTGCACTGTGTGAGCATTACTGAAAACATGAAAACAGTTCTTGGTGTGTGTTTGCAGCCTGCTTGGAAAACAAACTAAACCCCTGAGACTGTTTCAAGGTGCAGCTGGCCAGTGTACGCAGCCCTGTTCGCCTCAGGGCTGGTGGGAGGTGAAAGTTGACTTTGAGAAGTGGCCATGAGCTTAAGAGGCTGTGTCACAGCAGCCCAAAGTCTGCTCACAGAACCTCCATTTTTAACTGAGCTTTCCCAGAATGTGTTGAGTGATGCTTATCATTGTGTTCTAGGATCTTCCAGTTTTCCCTCCAGTTCTGTGCATAATTGTTGAGCTTTTAATAACTCCATAGAGGTTCCAGGCAAAGCAGTAAAATCTATCCTTTTCTGAACTGTGAGAGGTCTGTGTGTCTGTGAAACAACTTCTTTTGCAATGAGCTGTGTTCATTGACTGTACTTTTATATCAGTGTTTTTAAAGGTTAATTCATCCCAAAATAAGGCTGTGCTGCTTTAGGCTGAGAACCGTGAGTTAGATGCAGACAACTGTAAAAGGATGTGTGAATGCTGAATAACCAGTCCTGTCCCTGGAGCGTGCATGTTACCTGGCACACATTCAGCAACTGCTGCCATCTATTCAGAGCATTGAGCAGATTAAGTTGGAGAATTCTTCCTTCAAGCCCTGTTTATCAAAGACTTGTTTGAACTGTGTGCAGTTCATATATTTGGCTTCCATTTAGTGATAGGAAGTACATGATTGCAAACACAGTAGCTTTATATTAATTTGTCTTTGACTTGAGCAAGGTTGGACTTTGCAGATTTTCTATTTACTCTGCAGGATGGTAAGCATTGAGATCTAGGTTATTTGATTTTTTTTTTTTTTTTTGTTATCCTTGTGTCTATATAGACTTTGAGTTCCTTAGGTGATTGCTATTTTGAGATGGATGGCTTCAGCACATGGTACTATTTTGGGTGGTTTTAGGTGGGGACAGTCAGTTGGTTTGGGGTTGTTTTTTTTCTTTAAAAAACACATGTATTCAACTTTGTACTTGGTTTGACACAGGTAATAAATGTGCATTTAACTGCTGCAGCCCTGGTCAACATAAACTGCACACTTCGTGTGGTTAGAACTGTCTTCTCTGTCCCAGTGTTGGTTATTTATATCAGTGGCTGACACTGTTGTGTGTGATGAGACCTCCTGTTGGGCTGCTGAGCCCTGAGGAGGGAGGGACCTCGGGCCTGTGCAGTGCCTGTGCCTGAACCCCTCTGAGCAGCCAGCACAGGGACTGTGCCTGTCTTGCCTTGGTGTCACTCCTCTTGCACACTGCTGACATGCACACTCCAGTGATGCAAGCCAGAGGTAGTAGGAGAAATTCATCTAAAGGTGAGCAAAAAGGATTGCTTCAAAACACTTTTCTCATCCCAGCTAAGGCACTTGAGATCTCTCCCGTGCTGGGGTAGAGCAGGCTGAAATAAACAGTGCCATGGTTGGATGTGAAAGGAAAAGGGAAGGGAGGTCATCTCCAGCTTGTTTATGTGTAAATAACCTGGTAGTGTTGCTGTTTTCATTGTTCTGTGACAGACTAAGTCCTGCACCTGTTCAAAACCAGTTCAGCTGTGGTACATGGGGAAGGAGTTCTGATCTTCATGGCTTTTAAACCTTGTGCAAGCTCCAGCAGGCACCTCTGCTCTCAGGACCTTCCCCCCCTCAGGTTACTGGTTGAAGAGGTAGCAGCAGTAGCTCTGAGGAGTGTGGTCACTTTATCACAGAGGCAGTGTCTGTTTCACAAACACCAGTTCCTTGACATTGTTCAAAAGTAAAACCTAAATGCTGTCATGGATGATTAGTCATTCTTGTACCATGTGTGGAAGGGATTTAATGAAGTATTCAAAGCAGGCAGCTTTTAATCTGTCTAAAGGCTGCAAAAGCAATGTTTGTTAAAATGCATGTGCTTCTTGAAGTAGGGAAGGAAAGATAACACCTGTAGACAGATTTGATTTTTTTTTTAAGGCTAATCTCCTTTTACTTCAAATACATGCATTCTTCAAATGCATGTGCTTATGCAGTTTATGATCCAGATTTTTCTTAAACAAAGAGGAAGCCAATTAAATTCCAACAAAAGAAGGACAAAGGAGTTAACAAATGGTTCTGATTTCAGCTTTGTGGTATATATTCTTTGCCTGATGCCATCCACAGCTGTGGGTTTTCATCAACTACCTTGTAACATACCATATTTCTATCAAGCATTTTAGTTCTTAGAAATAGGGGATTACATCACTGGCCTGCCATTCACAGGCTTCATTGCTAGGCAACAGTTAATGTAATTCCATTGTTCGGTGACACCACTTTGAATCTTTGCTTTGTGTACAGAAAGTGTGTGTCTGCATTTTGCCATGTTGTACCTCATGTGGCAGGGTTTGTACAGATGGATTAGCATTTCAGCATCTTCTGTGCAAGGGGGTGATTCTGCAATAGCTTGTTCACTCTTGTCTGGAAAAGATGTCTTGCTCTTGGTCTTTGTGACTGAATTTTCAGTTTTCTCTCTCCTTATATGTACATAGCACCTTCTATTGGATGAATGTGAGCCTCCTGGGTGCCTTTGAGATTCCTGCAGAGTACACAATTCTGCTGCAGAAAGAGAGGTGGAGAGGTCAAATGTATTGCTCAGATCCATGCAGATAATGATATTTTTCAGCTGGCTCTTAATATCTTTTTCTTTGACATAGTGTTTCTGTAGCAAAGTGCTGCAGGGAATATTCCATACATGAAGTAATGTTCTGGTAGTGGTTGCGTGCTATTGTTTTATAGAAAGGAGTTGCAGTAATGTTGCAATACATCTGGTATGTGGTGGCAAACAGGGCAGATCCTGGATGCCTTTTGTCTTGGGGCTTGTCTTGTTCTGTGCCACACTGAACAGGCTTCCCAAGGAGGGCTTCCAAGACTTGTGACAAAGTCTTGTGCAGCCTGGTCTGAATTCATTGTCCAGCCTGCTTTGTGCAGGCAGCTGGGCTAAGTGATGTCCCCCTAGACTGAAATATGGAGTGAGTCTGATTGTACCCCAGCACAATCCAGCCTTGCAGTATTACAGCTCCTGGAAGCTGCTGTGTGTGTGCCTGCCCTCCTCTTCCCTTCAGGGAGGGGGTAGGTGTGAGGCAGTGAGTGGAGCACTGGCTGGGGGCAGCCTGCAGTGTTCTCCCTCAGACTGGAGCTGCACTGTGTCACCTGCCAGCTGAGAGAGCACTGGTGCCCAGGCCATGGATTGGTTTGCAACAGGGACACCCCCCTTCACAGCAGAATGAAATTCCCCAGCTCACAGCCGAGCCATTGCATCTGCTGGGTGCATTGTTCTAGCTCAGCCTTCTACTGGGGCATTGGAAAAGCCTGTCATGAAACATTCAGATTATATTGTCCAGCACTGCAAATTGATATTTCGTTCTGCAGCAAGTGTGAGGGTGGTTAGGAAAGATATTTGTACAGCACAAACTGATAAGGGCCTTGTATTTAAAAATAAATGTGTGTTAGTTGGCTCCTCAAGCAACAGTTGTCTCTTTCACTGGCTCTGCTCAGCCTAAAGATAGGGAAGGCATTGATGTGTTGGGATCCTTGTAACAGTAAGGGAGGCAAGGTCATGGCAGATGCATGTGAGAGCTGTTTAAATGTGTATAGTTAGAGATTCATCCTACAGGGCTTATTTTGCAGTAACTTTAAGTGTACTTTTTGTTTGTTTAAAAAGGACCATTTTGTACAACAATCCTGAGAACATTGATTTTGCAGGTTTATGGTACATTTCTGTAGGTAGTTGCTTCTGCCTTTTAGTAGTTGGAGGTTTGCATTTGTTTCTGCCTGCCTTCTGGTTGGAATTAGATCTTTCCAGTTCTGTGAGCCCTTCAGAAATGCTGCTGTTTCTAGCAGTTCATCTTTCCCTAGTACACAATGTGTACATCTATTTTATTGTAACAGTAAGTCATAGATTGTTCCTCAGAAATTTTGCCAGTTACACTATTTTATTGTGTTTGTTAAAATAATTATTACCTTGCTGAAGGAAGGGCTTGGTGTTCCAAGGAACTGAGCATGTTTTTGTGCCTGTTTAGGCAGCAGCAGGCATCCTGTGCTACGTTGGAGCCTATGTGTTCATCACATATGATGACTATGATCACTTCTTTGAAGATGTGTACACACTCATTCCAGCTGTTATCATCATTGCTGTGGGAACGCTGCTGTTCATCATCGGCCTGATCGGCTGCTGCGCCACCATCCGAGAGAGCCGCTGCGGCCTGGCCACGGTGAGTGCACAGCTCCTGCACAGCCTTAGTGTGTACTTGCCTGCCTTCTCTCTTAATAAACTCCTAAAATATTACTTGAAGTTTTCACTTTATGGCCTTAAAAGTTATCTGCTTCATTTTTTTAGGAATGTCTTATTTCAATTTTCTGTTCTGAATAAAGGTGTTAAATGAAACAGTTGTAGCAGCAGAAGGCGTCTCAGTTTTACCTTTTTTAGAACTGTGGTAATCTCATTAAAAAGTGTAAAACCATATGATTAAGTCATAGCAGTTTTTAAATCTCACTTTTATCTGTTGTGGTTGAAAAGCTGAATTGGAGGGAGAGAAGTGATTCAGGAGCCTTCTTTAAGTGTCTTGCATCAGGGTAACTGAGGGTTGTCATAAGGCCTGATTATTTTCTTAATGGTTTACTTGGGACACTTGGTTGGCAGTATTTTATGCCCTGTGTTTCCAGGTATTTCAACTGTAATTTTGTCTTGAAAACTAGGTAGGGAAGAGGAGAGGCTGTATTTGAATTGTCCCCACAGGAGGGTTTGGGGCTTCTTTTGTTGAGTGCTGTGTAGACTTCTTTCAAAGTGCTCAAATACAGCAAGACAAATGCATAGCTTGCTGTCTTTTCCAGTTGTACAGAGCTTAATCTGAAGAAACATTCCCTTAGTCCATCTACCACTCTAAGTAACTGCCTGGGTACCCTCTCTGATGAGACATTCCTATTTATCTAACAAAGAAAATTGAAAGAACCACTTGATTAAAGACCTGCAGTATGGTATTTTCACTACTAATGACAGCTGGACTTGCCTGACTGGGCAGCTTCTTATTGCTTGGTGAAGCTGTGAACACTAAAGCTTCTTGAATGAATTCTGGGCTCATTTGGTCAATTTAAGTGCCTGCATTAAATTAGCTGTTAAATCAAAACCTTGCAGCAAAAATAACTTTAAATAGAAAAATCTACATGGAGCCTTTCATCAGGCAAATGAATGAAACTATTTGCACAAACACCTTTGATTGTGTTTTGCAGTTTGTGATCATCTTGCTCCTGGTTTTTATCACCGAAGTTGTGGTCGTGGTTCTTGGATACATTTACAGAGCAAAGGTAAGAACAGCTTCAGTTATGTTATGTTGTGAATTCTGACCATAATACAGAAGTGTTATCTTTACTGTTTGATTCTGTAGAACTGTTAATGGGTGCTTAAGGGATTAAAATCAGACATCTGAGTGGATTAATTTGTGATTCCAGTACCTTAAAATTTAGAACATGAATGCAGAGAGATGTCTTGTAGGCAAAAAATTACCTGGAACACATCATTAACAGTTAAACAGGAGAAGGGAGACATAGTAATTTATACCTTCACGTTTTCCAGATGGTCTTCTAATTTGTTTATGCTTTTACTTTTTGAATGAGTGGGGCTATGCAATTTTTGAACATAGAGCAAATTTTTTTGATATGCAGCAACTTCAGTGTTGTCATGTGTTTTGGTGTGCAAACTAACGCTGCATAATAATAAAATGAAATAGATTGGATGTGGTAATGTATACTTCCTAGCATTACTCAGGTTGTTGACAGGGATTATAGCTAAACAAATTACAACTTTCCCCACTATTTGTTTATGGAATTAAGAAACAGGGTCAGAAAAAATGAAATTAGATGTGCTTCTTCTAGCATAATGTATGATAGGAAAAAAAAAGACCAGAGAAGGCATTTTAGCTGTGACATGAAGCATGTTTGCAATGTAGCACACTCAGGGATATCTTACCAGCAAGCTGAACTACAGTACCATTTCTCTTTCTTTGGCCTTTTGTGAGCAACACAGGTTCAGCATTCTCTCCTCTTTGCTTTCTCCTGCTGTCCTGGAACAACTTGGGAAACAGCTTGGAAGTAAAAGTGGTGGTTGTGCTTGGGCCCCAGGGAGGGCTGCTCGGAGTAAACAGTGACCACACAACCTCGAAGTGTTTGTGTTACAGACCTGGTGCATGACACTTAGAACAGGCTGCTTCAACAGAAGTGCTCTACTGGCCATGCTGGAACTCAGAATATGTTTTCCTCATGCTTTGCTTTTGAGTTCTGGTATCTTGGCAGTGAACTGAGATGATCACTGGGGATTCTTAAGTTTATACTGGAAGTAGGCCTTAGAAGGCACTGAGGAAAGCCCTACAATTCCAGGGGAGTAGGAAGTGGGCTCTTACACATTGATCTGAATGGCTTCCTTCTGTTTCAGTACTTGCAGAGAAATACTTGAATATGTGCAGGAACTACCCTGGATGTGATCTGGACTAGCAGTCACCTTACTGTCTTCCATGGTCCCATCTTGAAGGGACTTGCTGTTTTTCAGTGAGCAGTATTCACAGCAGATGCAGGGATCTGCCTTGCCCAGCTGTGTTCCTGTTGCTTCTCTTTTTTTGGTTTGCTCTCATGCAGTTTTCTCTGCAGTGGGTAATGCAGGGCCAGAGCTTGGGAGAAGAGGGAAGGTTGTCTGGTTTTGGTGGCAGCCTGTTAAGCTGTTTGTGGAAGTCAGTATTTGAAAACTGAGCCTTAAATCTTTGGAAAGGACAGACAGGTTTTGTTACTAACGATGGCAGTTTTCTAGTACCCTACAGTATCTAGCATCTTAAACTGCTGTTTCAAGTGCAACAGAAATAAACAGAAATAAATTTCTTACCAGTGAGCTGGGAGAGGAAGTGTGCTTACCCTTCTGATTATTTTTGCCAGGATAAATAAGTCAGCTTTATGGTTTGTTAATTTTGGTCTGTTGTTTCTGAGATGGTGTGTACACATTTGTGGGAGCCTTGTTTTGGTTTTTCTAAAGGCACCTGAATCATGTTAGAAGTACTTTGTGTTCACCTTACAAACTTGTAAACAAAAGGAAAGATTAAAGTCGTAGCAGTTGTTACATTGGGCATAATGCCCCAAGGAAGTGGCACTGTGCTCTCTTAAGATCCCGTTATTGATCTTAAAATTGCTGAATTTTCCAGCATGCCTCTGTAAACCTGTGTGCTGATCCTGTTCAGACTCTTTCAGAACTGTGTGAAACGTGCCCAGGCCCTGCTGAGATGGGCTGAGCTGCTGCAGAGCCTTCTAGCACTGGTCCTTAGCTGGAAAAGTCAGACTTTTTGGAAGTGCCAGTAGGGATTAAACAGGCTTGGTTGCTTGAGGACCTGCAGGTTTTTTTCCTCTGGATGGAGGGGTTCACTCTCTTCATTGTTCACTAAACCTGCCAGTTAACTAGAGCTTGTGATTTCTCTTTGAATCTTAAGGAATTTGCAGGGTTTTCTGGCATAATGTTGCCCTGAATGAACTGCAAGCCAAATTATGCATAAACAAGCACTGAAATCAATGATTTTAAAATGTATATGACAAGTTGAACAGCTGTTTTGTTATGAGTTGGAGTTGTAAAGCAAATTAGTTAAATCATCAAACAATTGATTTTAAACTGGTCTGAAATGAGTTGCCTGTGCAGGCTAAATTGGCTTTTCTGCATACCTATCTTGAAATAGGCAGCATTCTTGAGGAGGGGGTGGTGCTGGAATTCAGCTTGTGCTACTGCTGCATCAAAATCTTCCATTGAAGTATTTAAAGGAATGATGTGTTGACAAGACCTTCCTACTGTAGCTTGCAAATCTGAAGAATATGCATGCTTAGTGCTCAGTCCTAAAATTGCATTCCTTGCACATAATTCCTGTCGAATGTGATAGAAAAAATCAAATCAGAGCTAATCTTAAAATTGCAGAAATGTTTATCTATGCTGAACTGTGTATTATTTAAGTTATATTTTACAGTAATGTATAGTATTTTAAAGGTTCTAGTAAGATTTTCTCCAAACCAGGCATCATAGCATGCCTTTAGGGGGGACAAGTGATGATTCTTGAGTGGCATTTATATCAAACACATGTACCTGACAGCATCTTGACTCAGTTACAGTCGGTCTAAAACCTATTGCAGGAAATGTTGCTATACACAATGTACTGCTCCTTGGGAAGCCCTGGAGCCTGGGGCTGAACAGAGAGCCTGGTCACTGTAGGGTCAGCCAGAAGGCATCTTTGAGCATTTATTTACCTGTGCTTCAGCCCAAAGAGTGGGTGGAATGACTTGGTGACTTTTGCTCCCAATATCCTCATAGTCCCAAGGGGAATGGGTTAGCCCAGGTGGTGATAATGGTTTTGGTTTGGGACCTTGAAGTAGAGAGGTGAGTGCATGTTCTTATGGACAGCCCTTAACTTCGTGAAATCTCTTCCATGGTGTCACAGGGAAAGCTGTTCCTGTTCTGAGAGACAGTGCAAAGCTACTTTGCCTAAGATCTGGAAGGTAGCTGTGCCTGGGTTTTCCTTCTCCTGTAGCTGCAAGCTGGCAACATCTTAGCAAAAGTCAGGGTGGAACTTTAGGAAGCTGTACCACGGAATTGTGCTGATTTCAGATGATGGGGAGTTACCTTGGTTTCCTGAAATGCTGTAGCTGGAAGCAAAATGATGTTCCCTAACCTGTGCTGGTGAGCTCATGCAGCTGCTTTCCTGCCCCTGCTAGGTGGAGGATGAAGTCGATCACAGCATTCGGAAAGTGTACAACCGATACAACGGCACCAACCCCGACGCCGCCAGCCGTGCCATTGACTATGTACAGAGGCAGGTGAGACAGCAACACACAGGCCAGTGTTCCCCTCCTTCCTGTCCTCAAAACACAGATGCTGCTGCTCTGCTGCTTGTGCAGATGTTCTTCCTCCACTCTGACAAGTCTAGGAAATTGCTGAATGGACAACAAATAGTTCAGCTTTGTTAAAATTAATATTACTTCTGTGAGGGAGATGTATTTTTACATCATTAGCTATATCTCAATCTGTGCTTGTATTCAAATACATAGTACTTAAGTGTTTTTCTGCAGTGGAACATGATATGCTTCTCCTTCTGGTATTGCAGTTAGAATTGAATGCTTTACCTGTCTGATTTTCCAGCTGCGCTGCTGTGGGATCCATAACTATTCAGACTGGGAGAATACTATCTGGTTCAAACAAACTAAAAACAACAGTGTGCCCCTCAGCTGTTGCAAAGCAGCCCTCAGCAATTGCACTGGCAGTTTGACCCGCCCCATGGACCTTTATTCAGAGGTAAGGCAGCTACAATGGTGGCTAACACAACCACAATTCATTTTCTTTGGGAGAAATCAAATCTTGGGTGTAATTGCTTTAACAGAAAGTAGATGTAGTTAATCCTCTCTCTCTCCTTTTCATCTGTGAGTAATTTTCATGTAATTACTTTTTTTAGTATTAGCATTCTTTCTGCCCTATGTGATGCTTTTGGGGGTTTTTGGTGTGTCTAAACATGGTTCTCAGATTGATACATAAGAAGCCTACTTGTTTCAGGGGTGTGAAGCTCTGGTTGTCAAGAAGCTGCAGGAGATCATGATGTATGTCATCTGGGCAGCACTAGCATTTGCTGCTATTCAGGTAAGAGAATGTTCTTGATTTGTTAACTTCTTTCAGATTAGATCTAAACTGCAGTACAGATAACTACAGGTATGTACATACAGATATTACCCTTTAATACAGAACTTCCCACTGCAATGGGATATGTTCTGTTAGAGCTGAACAGTCAGTGTTACATGCAGTAATCCACTCTGATGGAAATGGTACATTATTTTGTGCAAAGTTAATTATCTAGGTATTAAGTATCATAAATGTCCTCTGATGGCATTTAAAACTTGAGGATTTTGCATAGTGTTTAATTTCCAACTTTTAAACAGCTCATTTTTCATGATGTTTTAGAGGTACATTATCTTAACTATGCTTCATGGTATGTAAATAATGTCAGGACCACGTAGGAGATGCACCAAGGTTTTTGATAGTGTGCTCTGCTCGTGTGCAACTGAGCTTTGCTGTGTGTCTTGAAGATTTCTTGGGTTTTGGTCTTGAACAGAGAGGCTCTGAACTGCACACTCTTCCATGAACCTTGTTACAGTTACCCTGGTCATAAAAAGGTAACTGAGAAAATAAACTAATGTATATATTAGTATTTATTAAATTTTAAGGAAGAAAAAAGACTAAAATTGTCTCCCAAACATATTTGTAAAATTGAAATTTTAAATGCTCATCAACTGGCACACTTAGTACATTCATAACATTATTTTCAGTCTGTGCCTATGTTATGGTCTCTGAGCAATGTAGTACATGTGCTGAGTCCCAGGAGACTTAAAAACTAATTTCAAAGTTACTTTAGTGCTCTTAATAGCATTTGAATTCAGAAAACATACCTGTCAAGTCTGACAATGTAAGCACTTCTGTTTTCAAAAGCAGCATTTGAGCTGGATTGTATGTTTGAAGGTAAATAATCTTTTGCAAAGAGTCTTGTGAAAAGAGGGTTCCCTCTGTGCCTCAGTGTTACAAGGATGTACACATAGTACTTTATACAGTCATGTTGAACTGTTCAGACCCAGACTGCTTCAGCTGTGGAACTTCAAATTTGGTGAGATCTGTGCTCAGTCTCCTGAAGGGAAGGTATAGTTTTAATTTTCTTCCTTAAACCTTGAGTTGTTAAAGCAATACTTGATCTGCTTGAACAACGAAATGTATTTGTGTACTGAAAATTAATGTCCTACCACAGCCATAGTTACTCTGACAAAATTTTTATATGTCAGGAAAAAAGTGTATCAGATGAAACTGGCTGAGGAGAATGCCAAGAGGAGGCATTATTATTAATTCTGGAGTTTGCAGGTTGATGAACAGGTCTGCCCCAAAATACAGCACAGTTAGAATCCTTTCTGGCCCTGGCCCAGAGTTTGACATGCTTGCAGTGCCTGCTTGCACCCTTCTGTTCAAAATGTTCTATTATTTATCTCCTGAAATTGAGACATAAGCTCTGACATCTTTGTCTTTGCCATACAGAATTCAAGTATGTACTTGGCTCACTTCTCAGCAGAATGGTCTGTGGGCTAAGTGAAAGGGAGATAAAATGTAAACTTCAGCACGTGGCTGCAACTTGGGTCATACCCTGTGAACTTAGAGGAATGATTGTTTTTCTTACATTTGTGAATTTTGCTACCTTCCCTGTGCTGGCTGCACAGTCCCCTCTGAACAGATTATTTTGTTATGCAATGAGGCTGCTCAAAGTTCATTACCTCTGGTAGCCTATAGTCAACAAATTTAACCTTCAGTAATTGCTTTAAAATTAAAAGACTGAGAGGAGTATTTTTGCAAGGCTTGAAATTTATTAACAACTTAGTCTTTTCTGCATAGAAGCAATTTTTGGTATGTTCATGTTTCAGTTACCATGGGGATCTTCCAGTGTCCAGATAATTCCCTGGTCCCAGCCACAGTGACAGCACAGAACTATTAATAGCTAGGAGGCAAACTGAAGGGAGTGGAGACACAGCTTTTGTGGCTGGTGATCATTTACAAAGGGCACCTGTATATACAGCCAAGGAGGTTTTGTACAAAATTAGTTTGGGGAAAGATTGAATGTAGTTATTGCTAGCAGGGAAGTTTAAGCCAAAATTAATAAAAAAACTAAACAAACCTCCTGAATGCAGGAGGTGTTTAAAATTCCCTGAATGCTGTTGAAGAGGAGGATGGATGGATCCTTCCTCAACACAGATGTCTAAAATAGCAGTTCACAATATTAAATAGCAACCAAAGAAACAGACTCAAATGCCTTGAAATGTTTAGAGGTGCTAGGATTTTTTAAAATGACATAATAAATAATGTCTGTAGAGTGCACTGATATGAGTCACTTTGTTTATAGTGAATTCTAGGAATATGCTCAGAGACCTTCTAAAGGATAGAAATGGTTTAAATAGGAACTCTGAAGTTAATTGCATGGGGTTTTACTGTAGTACCTGAATGTTTGAGCTTTCACACAACTGTATATAAATTAAATATCTCAAGGGAGTCATTGAACAGGCTTGTCCTTGTGCAAATAGCTGCAAATGTGCTGGATCTACTTTTATTCACTTGATGTACATGGCTAGAATGAATTCTAGCAAAGGACTGAGGGAGGTGTTGCTCTGCATCACACTTCTCATTTTATCCTGGCTTTGAACAGCAGAGAAGTTCTTGTACTTGCAGGCTGTGAGCCTTCTTGAGAGTTCTGTAGCTGCTGGCAGCTCCCATAACTCCATTTTACAAGTGTAACTGAAGTGGGTTTCATTGTAGATCTTCCCTCCTCACTGAGAGGGGCTGGGTCCATGACCAGTCATTCTCCTATGTGATTTGTTCCTCTTGCTCTGACACAAGTTTATGAACCTGAGCACCCTGATGGTGTCCCTGCTTCTTGCAGAAGGGCTTGACTGGGTGGCCCTTAAAGGTCTGTCCCAGCCCAAACCATTCCATGATTCTTTGATAATATATTTAGGAGTCAGTCTTTGAGCTGGAACCACCTGAGTGAAGAAAGGTGCTGTTTTTAACAACAGCTCAAGTACCAAACTGTGTTACTCTCCATAATGCTTTTTAAACCTGAGCTGGTTTCTGCTATAGATCCAGAGCAGATAATGCACTGCAGACAAGGAAGAGCATTGATCTTTACAGCTTGTTCCTTTCCAGGAAATTAAAAGCTCATACTAGAATTTCATCATGCCTCTTCCTAACCACTGCATATTTAGATTTAGGATTCTTCAACATTCTGTTTTCAGTCTGTCAGCAGACTGGAGTACTATAATGTGTGTACCATCATGTAGTTTTAAAACATGTTACACATCTGATGTTTGCATTGGCCTGCATTTTTAAAAGGTCAGTAATTCTCCTTTTGTCCCAGTACTACTTTCACTGGGCTTTTGCTGTATCAGAGAGGAAATTCTGCACTTGTGTGTTCACCCATTTAATTCTAGTTTGCTTTCTGTCTGAGGGGATTTTTTGTGGTGTCTTTTTGGAGTGGATTCTTTTTTAAGAAATCAAGTTGTGTTCAGAGTGGTGCTTTATAATCCAGAGATAGGACAGGAGCCTCCTGAAGTATTTGCATCTGTGAATAAACTTCAATGCATACAACCAAATCAATACAATCTCACACTTTACTAGAAGCTATTGCCAGTTATTGTAAACCAGAGAACATTACCAACACTATACCTGCTATTTTTTTGTTGGTACAGTCTTATTCTACCTTAAGTAAACATACAGCTTCTTTAAAATACCATGTCCTGTATCCCTGATTATTCACATGGTTTAAATCTTGTAAGTGGACATAGGGTGATCATACCTTAAATCATGGGAAGCATGCCAGCCCAGTTGTGGTAATGTGAATTTTAACATGTCTAAAAGTGAATTATTTGCTTTAGATCTAAGCCTTCTAGTTAGTATGTCATGTTCACAGAGATAGTTCTATGAAATCTCTTTTTAAAGCCCATTCTCATCATAGCAGTTAAGCTGATGCATTTGAGTTGCGCTTGAGTTTTCCATACCAGATATGGTACCTAAACATCTGTACCTTTCATTAAAAAACATCAGGAGTTTCTTCCATCTGAATCTGAATTACTGAGGCAGAATGAAGATGGCTGACAAAAAAAAGTCTTGTTTTAGATGTCCAAGGTAATCCTGTAAGAAAATGAGGCTGAAGCTTGTGGCCCTAGGAGTTCCCAGCAGGAGTGGAGGCTCTTTCAGGAAGGGTGGTTTGTTGCCATTTGTTGGTTCCAGTCTTGAAGCATGCTGGCAGTCTGTGCTGAGGCTGAGTCTTGAAGATTTCCCTTGTTCTCAAGCTTGTTCTCTGTTTTTTCTCCCCAGCTTCTGGGCATGTTGTGTGCCTGTATAGTTCTATGTAGGAGGAGTCGGGATCCTGCCTACGAGCTGCTCATTGCTGGTGGAACCTATGCCTAGAAGAGAATTCCAACATGCAGTTCAATCTTCCCCCTGTTCCCTGGAGGGTGAATGGGCCGGGTTTTCTTCCATAGCTTTCTTGCCCCAGCTTATTCCAAGCACACCTTTCAAACATGAGGGCAGCCGCACTGTGCACTGGTGATGGGCAACAACAGCTTTACACAACCCATAGAATTACCTGTGACTTTCACTGTTTTAGCCAGCTATTCATGTATCTAAATGTTTTAGTATGCTAGTAAACTTTCTAATTTCAGAACCATTTGCAAGTTAAGTGTAATTTGGTTGATATGAAAGTCAAAGGATGTGTGCCTACTTTGGTAGATTACCTCTAAGCATTAACTGGCTGATACTTGCATATATAGAGGAAGTCTTAAACCTTCACTACATGGAACTTTTCTGGCCAAAGTTGTACAAAGGAAGCCAGCTGTATTTAATTTGAGAAGAAAAAAAATGTTTTAATCTTGCCCCTCACCAGTGTCACTTTTAAAAAAAGAGAAAAACACTTAAGTCCAGTATACTTTATATATAAAGAAATTGTAGGGAAAAAAACTAACCAATTTTAGGATTATGTGACTGCAATTTTGACCTTCAGAGATCCAGTCTTTCAAACATTAGTGGTTTAAAATACAAGCTGGCTTTTCAGGAGTATAATGTATGCACTACTGTTCTATAATGAAATATTTCATTTTTCTATGAAGAGCGTTTTATGTGTTGAGTGAACTGTTAGACTGTAGACCTTCAATTGGTTTGGAAACAATGTAGCCATGTAGAGTAGCCAAGTAGTATGTGAAAGTGTTCTCAACTGTAAATAATAAACCTGATTAAATAAATCTCTGTATATCCTCCCTATAAACATGTCTTGTTTTTTGTTTAAGATTCCAGTGTGTTTGGTCCAATGGAGTCTGGGTGTGCTGGATACACAAACTGTGTGAAAACAACAGTTTTGGGTGGCTTCACTTCAATAGATCTGTATTTATGGTTTGCTGGAAACCTGATTGTGTTGTGTTTGTTCTTTTTATTTGAAACAACAGCAGTGAAACACAGAACAACAAACTTCGCTGAACTTGATGGAAAGTTAACATCTTGTGCATACAATTAAGGAAGAATCTGTTGCCTCCAGACAGTGGGTAATGAACAGCTTTACTGTAACTGCTGTATGTCAATTATGTTTTGTGTGTCTTGCATTATTCAGATACTTAGTCACTGCCCTACTTTCAGTGTCTTCAGGTTCTTCCTCCTTTGCAGAAGCCAGGAATGCTCAGAATTTTTACCAGTTGCTTATGTACAAAGCAGACATGCTCAGCTGAACTGACCTCAAGATAATCTCAAGTAACTGAAGAAACATCACTCAGAAAAAGAAAATTCTAATGTGTGCACACTGCTGAGGCCAGTGTGGTTTATTGGAGGATTTTTCTCAGTGCTGTTACACTGCTGTAGAAGTGTACCTGTGGAATTCTGGTAACTTGTGAAGGTGGGTTTCAGTGATACTCCCTTGGGACTTAGATTTTCATTCTTAGTACAGCATGTGCCTCAACCCAGAGACCTCCTGACTGTGGCATCACATTTCCCAGGTGTGGCAGCAAGCCTGCTCACTGCATTTGATTGTCTTCATATTGTATTGCAGATTGTAAATGTGGAACTAATAAGATGGAGATCACCCTGGCTTGTAAAAACCAGTGTGGAGAGGTTGTATGACAGACCTGTGTTGCACAGAATAAGGCTAGGGGTGCTTAAAAAGGTGGTCAGCTCTTAGCAGCTGCAAGGCAGAAGAAACTCCAGCTATGAGCCTGCATATGCCCCTTTGAAATGAGGATAGCTTGGGGGAAATAACAGTGCTTGTTAATCTGGCTGGAAGACATGGATTTGAAGTGCAGATGACTTGACAGTTCTTGCATGTCAATGAAGGATGTCTGTTTCCTCTTTAAAAAGCAGAATATTTGTCTGGAATGTGGAAACGACTCAGTATTTTACAACTTTTTATATTCTATACATACAAAGCCCAACTTTTAACTGCTGTGAATCAGTTTTTTCTAGAAACCTTCAATTCAAGTGACCTTTTTGAATTGCACAGTCTGTAGTAGGTCTTGGATGTGTGAATGAAGTTTTGGTGGTGTTTGGGTTTTCTAAAATACAAAATCCAACTTCACACATCCCCACACTCGCCCCAAAAAGCCAACAAACACAGACTTGCAAGGGTCTAGTACACCACATTTTGTGTGGTTCACTGAAGCTGGGAACAAGTGGTGTAGGTCTGTGCCTTCCCTTACTGAACAAAATAAATCAACTTTGGCTTGCATTAGGCAGGAGTGTTGGGGTGGCTGTAGTTTGGCCTTCCTAATTCATACATTCCTATCTGGTAGTGCATTTTAGGGGACAAGGGCTGATTTAGTTTCAGCTCCTTTTTTTTCCTTGATTCCTCTGTCTGGCCTTTTAAGTTCCTGTATGAATTTCTTTTTGGCCCTCTTGTAGCTGAGGAGTCTGAGAGGGCTCAGACTGCACAGGAAATGGTTCAGACTGAGTGAATCTGTGTGTGCTGCATGGAGCACACAGGCATGGAGCTCTCCTGCAGCCTGATCCACTGGGGTTTAACACAGGAAATTAGAATTGCCTTCAGGGGTGTTTTTAATTGGGTTTTGTTGTTCTCACTGCTGTTAAAGTGACTTAAATACATTGCAGTGCAAGTCCTGTGCTTTACTGCCTTTCAGCGCCCTAATAGGAGGCTCATGAGAATTGGAGGGTCTCACTCAGATTGTGGTTTAGTAAGGCATGATCATCTCTATTTGCCTTATTAAACAGAGGAGAGGTGCTCTAACAAGCTCAATTTAACAAAGTTAGCAAAAAAAGAGGTTACTGCCTTGATAGCCAAAAGAGGACAGCTCATGAGATTCTTCAGTGCTACAGTTTCAGATGAGATTTAAGTACTTGTGATAACAGTATCAGTGAGAGTCTTCAGAGGACAGTTAGTGAATCTTGTAACTGACTTAATCTTGGGCCTGAGACAAATCCCTCTGGAATGCACCACAAGTCTGCAAGTGCAGTGGGTCTTTGGTGTTCTGTGTGCTCTGTCCTGCAGCAGCAGCACCCTCTGGGGTGGCTGCAGTGCTTGGAGAATGCCACCTGAGCCTCTCCCCTGCCCCTTGCAGTCTTTGCTCTTGGCTGCCACCCCTATGACCAGGACAGCTGTCCTTGCTACACATAACAAGCTCAGTTTTACTTCTTTGGGCCTCTCATAGCTGATCCGTTCCCCTGGAGCTGCACTGAGCAGTTGGAAAGCTCTCTTGGGAGCAGCCTCTTTTAAACCATGATGTAAGCTTGGGCTTTTGCTAAAAGGCACAGAGCAGAATTCCATCTGTGCCACATCTGAACTGATGTGAGCACAAAGCCTCCTCTGCCAAGCTGTTGATGTGATGCAGTGCCTGTAAAGTGGTTGCTGTAGGCTGTGCCTGCCTGTGGGAGGGTAAGGTGCTGGCAGTCTTGGCCTGTTCCCCACTGTCCTGCAGATCAGTCTCCTGTTCCTGGACTGCTTCAGCACGGATCTCTCATGTCTGTCGTGATAACTGGGCTTGCTATTTGTCAGTCTCAGGTTTGGGACTGATTAGGAGAGAGCAAACTCATTGGCAGGTAGCAGAATCATGTTGCTGCTGATCTGTTGAAAGTTTGGGTGTGATGTGATTTTCATGGGGCAGTCACAGTTTGCCTGTGCCCTACCCAGCAGTAGGTGTAAACCTTGCCCTTCTACTGCCCCATGAAAGGATTATCTGCCAAAAACCTACAAGATAGTCCTGAAGTAGTCCTGTAGCAAGTTGTGTTTCCTTCTGTATGCCTTAACACAAGGTAAAATAATGCCAAATTGCAGGACACTTGTTCCTAGGTGGAGGAGGAGGTGCTGGAGAAGCACAGCTGCTCCATGGCCATGTGCTGCATCCTGAACACATGTTAAATGTTAAATGTCGTGGCAGAGGTAAATGTTAGATTTGTTCACCCACTCCTTTGTTTCTTTAGTCTGGCAGTTGCCTTCACAATGTAGGTTTTGTGCTCACAATACATATTTAGTCCAGGCATATGCCTTTGATTTGGTCCTTGCTGTGGCTGCAGTAATCCCTGCTGGATCTGTGCCTGGCAACAGATGTTGCTTCTTTCAGTGTCTGCACTCCAGGACAGGAGTTCATTTGTTCTGTGTGGGGTTACACTGTAGATGAACACAAAGTTTATTCAACATTTAAAAGCAGGGCAGAGTTTGTAGATTAAGTGTGGATGTGAACTTAAACCTGCACAAAATGAGAGACTATCACAGCTCCTGTCTGGGGACTTGAGACTTGGTGATCCTTCTGGAGCAAGCAAACAAGCACTTCTTTCTGGTGATAGGCACTGAACCACATGTTTTCTCTCACCTGCTTCTCTTGACCCTGAATGCTAAAGCTATGTTAGAGCTTTTGAGTTGAAACTCCTTTCTTTGCCAGAGGGAAGCCTGCAAACTGGGTTGCCTGGGGTAACATGAGCCACAGCAGTGTGGGACCATGGAGTTATTCCTGTTGGCACTCCAGAAAATAGACAGCTTTGCCTTCACTTTGATGTGTGGTGCTCCAGCTACCAGCTCTTTTCACCAAATGGACTCCTGCCCCATTTCAGAGAAGAATCTAGGCATTTTCCAGGATAGCTATTCTGTCAGACCTTGGTTAGGTCAGGCTCTGACTGAAGAACTGGAATGCACTTCCCTCATGCAAACAAAACACTGAGGCAAACCACTGGAGTTGTGGGGTTTGAGAGTATCTAGGATGCCTTACATACACAAGCAGTCTGCTCTAAAAAACCACTTCTGAAATGGAGCTCTGAAGTTTTTCCCCCAGCTGGACAAGGGAAGCAGCAAGCTCTGCTCTTGCCTGACTGAGTCTGGCATTGAACAAGTCTGCCACACATGAGTGTGTGCAGGGGTAGTGTTCATACATTCTCAGCTGAGAGGAGGAGAGGGATAAAGCCCCTGTGGCAAAAGTGGCATTGAGTCCTGTGCCAGCCTTCACCAAGCACCTCACAGGCAGCAAGCAGGACTCAATTCCCAGTACACACTGCAGAACTAAGCACTCCTTGGGCTTCCAGCACCCCGAGAATGCCCCATCCTTGGGAAGCGTGCTTGGTGCAGTAGCCTTGCACTCTGTGAAGTGTTTTTGCCCTTCGAGTGCAGTATCCATTTTGAAAGCTTAAATCCAGCATTTATCCTGATAGCTTTGTTCCCCCCTGTACAGTAACACCTTCAGCATTGAAAAGTGGTGCACTGAGGATACATTACAGACACTGAGGAAACATAAGTTAAATTTAGAACTTGTGCTGATAAGTGCTGTGGTTATAAAAGCTGGCACAGGACCCTGCAGAGCAGGGAGGATGCATTTCTCCAGATGCTTTCTCTCCCTCTTTGGTTTTGCATCCTCCCATGGCTGCTGAATTGAGCAGTGACCTAGTGAAACCTTTAGCTGCCACTTAGCGGAACAAAGTCACTGTCGCTTAAGTCTGCCCTCCTCAGCCGGGGCTCAGTCACAAGAAGGGCTGTGCAGCCTTTCTCTAAAGACAAAGCGCTTCTCACGTCTATCAGTGCATTGAAAGCTTTCCCATTCACACTTACGTTAGCATTCTTATCCTGGCGAGGTTAAAGTTCACCACTTTCCCAAGAAGTTCCTCCACGGACTGTTCTCGGCTTAAAAATTCAGAACAATCCTTCTTTGGATGCAGCTGTTGAGCATTTGTGTCCTTGCAGAGTGGAAGGGAATGCTCTGAACCCCACTACAGGCTCCCTGCACTGAGTGTGAGCGTTACCCAGTCCTGTTACAAAACGAGCACTGTGTACACAACAAAATTTGTCAT